TTGTTGTTAGTCATTAAGTTGTGTCCGACTCTTCGTGACCCCATGGACCAGAGCACGCCAGGCCCTCCTGTCTTCCACTGCCTCCCGGAGTTGGGTCAAATTCATATTGGTAGCTTCGATGACACCGTCCAACCATCTCATCCTCTCACATCCCCTTTTCCTCTTGCCCTAACACTTTCCCAACATCAGGGTCTTTTCCAGGGAGTCTTCTCTTCTCATGAGATGGCCAAAGTATTCCTTCAAAATGGATAGGTTTGTTCTCTTTGCAGTCCAGGGGACGCTCAACAGTCTCCTCCAGCACCACAATTCAAAAGACTTCTCCATGCTCCGCTCCTAAAAAACTAGAAGTGTTCAGCAAAGGACTACTGTTGGATTATTTTTATTGGCCATTTTTGGACCTCATTTTATTTTCCCCGTACTTCTCAGACATTGCCCATGTATGAAGTAAACAATCATGGCTCTGTCTAAGGTGGCCCCATGGGTTTCAAATGGCCTCCGCCAAGTATTTATCATTGTAATGGCTACAGGTTGGCTGCCTTTCACAGTCAACTCTTTGTGAACCTTTATAAGTCAATGGCACTCCAATAAGGTTAAAGCAGGATACTTGAAAGCTGAGATGGCCAGCAGGGTTCTATGGTAGCCTTCTACTTTCAAAATAACAATAAATAGCAGGCCTTCGTGTCTCTGGTCAGTTTCTGTGAACACCAAGCAATCTCATGTAGACTGGTATGAAGAAGAAATAGAGGAAAGGTGGGGGAAAGTCAGCTAAGAAACTATGGTAGAGCTTCCATTTTCATGCCCATCATTGGTGGAGGAGAATATTGCTGATGTGACTCTGTGTTGACTAAAAAGGAGAATCAGTTGCGTTTTGGACAGTAAGAAAAACTCTGCCAACAAAAATATAAAGACAGATCTAGTTCCAAGACCACAAGCAGATAAGGCTGACATTTTCAGAAGTGTCAATCTTAAGCACCCGTCTTCAGAGCCAGTCCCATAGAAGGCACTTTTCTGAGCCAAAATGCTCAACATCATGTGTGAAATATAGGATTGTACCTAAGTGCATTCAGAGGATAAGGCGGGAATAAAAACAAAGAAGCACAGACAAACCCCTAGGAGAGCAGAAGAAGAACAAAACTCCAAAACAAAGCAATTTTTTTCATAGCATGTGAAACTGCCTACCTTGAGAAACCCACTCACAATAAAACCATTCACCCCCAAGAGTTGCCCTATACCACAGCAGAATCCTTGCTCTTAACCCTTCCAGGTCCTTTTACGCCTCTTGTGCGTCAATCAAATGCAAATAAGCCCAGCTGGTTGCAGTTGAAGTCAGTTCACTGCTTTTGATGGGATGTAAGCAGAAAGGAGAACCCAGATGGATGGAGGGTATTTTAAAGGCAGATGACCACAGTCGCGTTATGTTATGAGCCATCAAGTTGGAATTGATTTGTAGTGACCCTAAATACGGCTTTCACCATCATTGAGATACTTAAGGAATGGTTTTATCAGTTCCACCCCCTCCCAAGTTCCCATGGCTGAGCAGGGATTCAAACCCAGTCTCCTGTATCTTAGTCTGTCACTCTACTCACTATACCTCAGTGGGTACATTTAATGTATGGCGTGTCTTAAGACCCAGTGACTGGAGATTTGCAGTGCAATACCATCACATTTACTGAAAAACCAAGCACACTCTCATCGTATTCTCTTCATTAAAAGTTTCTGGTCTGATTATTAAATAAGGGTATGTTAATACCCATTCAGGATTGCTTAGAAGAACTCATAAATGAGTAAGCCAAGATATTCTTGTCCCATTCACAGCTGTGCTCCTATGTTGAGACCCTCTTATATTGTAGTACTCTGGGGTATAATCTGTCAATATGCTGGTTGGATAGCTCAGTGAGTTAGGTATCTGGCTGTGGGTGGGGATTCTGATACCCCACTTTGCCTCCTGAGCAGGTTGCAAAGTCCTGCAGCACTCCCAAAACAAAGAAAAGGGGAATCACATATAACTACTGTACAGTATGCTTAAAGAACCTTGGAAATGGCTGCTATAGGTTCGAAGCAACTTGATAAGATGTAATTATTAATTAAAATCTGTCGGTATGATCTACCACAGTAAGTGCCCATAAGGAAGCCTTCACTAACAAAGCCTACACTTTGTATGCCCTGTTCTAAACCATTAGTTGTCTGTCTTTGGCCTTCCAGATGCATTGGGCATCAACTTTCATAATTCCTTACCATTGGCCATACAGGTCTTATTTGTTCAGCTGCTGATCCAGAAAACTGAACAACAGCTCTGCTATCAGTTTGAGCAAATGCTTGGCCCTGATGTGCTCTTCCGGTTCCTTGTGTTCTTTGCACAACCGACTGAGAACCAAATTCTTGTACCAGAGGAAAGGCTCCATCCTTTCAAGCTGGTGCAGAAGCAAAAAGGATCAGACTAGCCTTGACCAGATTTGTCAGTGTTCCTGTTTCCTTCTTGCAGGACATTTAACTGTGGGCAGATATTCCAGAATTACCACCTCGATTCAAAAGTGATACCCTCCATTCTGTCCCCTTATTCTGCTGCTGTCGTGGCACAGTTGAATGCAATGGTGCTAGACAAGTGAGAAGCTTTGTACCAGAATTTTCTATTTCTGATTTGCAGGATGTGAGCCCTGTCGCTTTAGTAACTGAGAACACACTCAAGAGGGGGATGTGTCCTTAACAGCTTACGGTGATTCCAACATTGGCAGAAGAACAAAAGTACTCCTCTAAATCATCAACAAAAATTCCTAAGAGGAAGCATCTTAAACAGACCCATAATAATGGAGCACACCTAAAGGGTACAGAATGCTGGTTAGCTTGGGGTTTCTGCAAGGCACAAGTCCTGTTTTCAGACTTAATGTCATCAGTGAGCTGGCATTCAGTCTTGCAGCATTTATGTTCTGATAGTGCGGAGTAAGATCTCTAAATCTGGGCAGCTGGGTTCATGCAAAACAGTGTGGTATGGCTTACTGAACAGCAGGTGGGAGTCATCAATTCTTACAGACAAGTTTATAAAGATTAGCTGGTAAGTTAAACAGTGTTTAGAAAGTTACATGGAAGAGGAATGCATATGTATAATAGCATGCTGAAGCCATCCATAATTGAGTACTGGCAGGATGATGCTCTGGTTTTCTGAGCAGCATCAAATCATAGTTCCATTATACACAGCTTCAGTATGTCATTGTTTGTTGTGAAAGTAACTCTCCATGCTCTAATAGTATTTGTTGTAAAAAAAAAAACCTTTCAAAACTTGGGAAGTGAATTCTGGTATACTGTTTCTAACTTTTTACCCCAGTGCATAATCTGCTGGGTGCAACAACACTGGTCTGGAAGACCCTGTTAGTTTTCCTTTGCATTCAGTTATAAATGTAGATTTGCACATACCATAGAGAGGCATAGAGCCCTACTAACAAACAACTAAAAATGCAGCAGCTTCTTATTAGTCATGCACAAGCTCTGTCCTCTCTGATTCTGAGTGGGACCAAATATGATTCTGACTTAGTTCATCTTGATTTGAATCCGGATGTAGACCAAGCAGTAAAGTGGCACTGCAGGTGTTAGAGTGTTGAAAATAGCATGAAATGATAGGACTGGCCATTCTGTTGACTATATACAGTATGACCCCCATATCCATGGGATCAGTATCTGTTGATTCACATATCTACAGTCTGAAAATATAATTTTTAAAAAAGTTGTAACCCAGAGTGACACTTCCCAAACCTGAACCGTCATTGCATGCTGTTTTGTTTCACTGCTAGATGTACTTTAGCAAGGAATGAGATTCATTGCACAGTTTGAAAATTAATTCTGTGAGTTTTAGTCCAAAAAGTGGACTAGGCATATTTACTGAGGTGTGAAACCTATTTAATTTAATATGACATACTGTACAACTGATAAAGCAGTTCTAAATACAGGTTGTTTCACTTCTAGATCAGCGTTCAGTGTCAGTAATGTACTGGATAAAGGTAAACAAACTGAAAGTTAATCCAGACAAGACAGAGGTGCTCCAGGTGAGCCAACAGTAATAGGGTTGCAGCTGGTATTGCTTGGGTCAGGTGCACAGCTTGGAGGTGCTCCTGGTTTCATTTCTGAGCCTGAATGCCCAGGCTTCAGTGGTGGCCAGGAGCACCTTTGCACAATTGAAACTAGTGTGCCAGCTCCACCTGTTCTTG